AGAAACGTTACCATTGAACTGTTAGAGCCTTAACTGGCCTCATGTAAATCTGAGATGAATTTAAAATGAATGAACTTGATATACCTAACAATAGTCACTGTTTAGTGATTGATTGTAAATGTTTTTAAAACAGTACACTGGAAATACGAATTAGTTACGATGCGTTTTTTGTTTCTAGGTTCTCAGTAATATATATGTACTTGATGTGTTTGATTATTAAACACAGTGATTTCAGGTCTAATAGTAAACTTTTGATTGACTTAAATTTTGTCTGCATAAATAATTGAATAGACAAATCAATAATCATCATAATGACAAAAACCTGTTTGCATTGACTTTAACCTAGTATAATAAGCTTTTAGATCCTTATTAACAAGCTCAAAAAAGTTTAACATCAATGGTGAGGGGTTTTACCATAAGTATATAAATTTGTCTTACAGTCGGTCACTAGTGAGTATACGCTGTTCAGTTGAAAAATTGAACACTACTTAGAAGTTCTAATTTAAGCTGTAACATATATTCAACACTTCCTAAAGTTTAAGGGTTTTCTTATTGATTGCAGTCACTGGTGAAAAATAAATTCACCTTAGATTAACTTTACAAACCCTCTCAAGAACTAACTGGATAGTCATAATACTCAATAACACCCAATCCTAATTAGCAAAATACACTACACTGTTTTCTTGTCCAACAACGACACGAATACAATTGACGAGAAATGACTGATCAATACCAGAATAACAAGCGCAGCCACCAACAGTCTAAGCTTATGACAATACATTGATAATAGATAATCTTGAGACTTCTAACTTGCATTACTCCAACAATCATACAATCTTGTCTAAACACAGTGACGTTAAGCACTTCAAATATCCAGGTTCCATTGGATCAAGACTCCAACTTCCTCGACAAACCCCTTAATACAATACGTAAGTCATTTCATATCACTTTAAAATGATATTTAAACAGACTCGCCTGACAAAACTATGATGAACTGAAAGATGAAAATATATTGGATCTAAAACTGGTAGTCTCAAGATCATTGAATAGGTACTTGGATCTTTTGAATAATAGGCATGACTCTCAGTTCAGTTCAACAGTTAAGATAGGTGAACTTCCTGCATTTTACCAATAGGCTCAATTCTTGATGATGCCAAGATTTCTCTTTGTACATCAACCCTCATCTCGGAATAAAGACATCTACATAGATTTGAAAAAACGATTATTGAGTAGTTGAAAATGATAAAAATGCTGTGAATAAAATTTAGTCGAATATTTATTGAACCTATCAGCAAACAAACTTGTTCATTTTATCTAATAAAAATACAGATTGGTCGTGATAAGTACTTGCTATTAGTCAACGTTAGAACTGAGATATGACAGACTATGTACATATCCAAGCTATACAATATGTCAGTACAACACTATGTTAATCCGAATTTTAAAATTAAGATTAACTGCCAGATTATAAAATTTTTGATAAAAGACAAAAGAATTGTGTACAAAACTGTCTAACAACCTCTATTTCCACAGGCCTTGTAGACATGACACTGAGAGAAGATAGTAGCTATTCACTACCACCTTCCTTGATATTTCTCAAATTATTACCATACGTAGTATAGACTATTTTCATGTACCTGGTAAAAAAGTATCTAGAAATTTCATGACCCCAGTCAAATGAGGAGTAAGTGGTTTATTGGTGGTTCTCATCTTGAACTGACATCAACCAGAGTACTGTCGAAAAAGAGTAACGATTAGACACTTTTTCACTTTTAACATAGAAGTCCTTTTGTGCATTCGGAATATTTGAATACATGATCAATAGCTGTTGTTAATTAATATGATTGTCCAGAGGACATTAAGAGCCATTCAAAATTTCAAGGGTGAGTCATTTTTGATCTGGAACAAATAGAATCCTTACAGTAAAGTAAAAGAATATTTAACAGAAAGCTAGACATGTTATAGTTGGCATTTGTTCCTATTTTTTCTGCCTATTTACTGAGTACAAACTGTAAACAAGATACTAATGTCTTTTTAGAGTAGATGTTATATATTGAACTTCGGGTTTGTTGAAACATGTTGTTTGCTGTTAAAAACCATAGTAGCATCTCATTCATACTGTAGTACATAAGTTTTGTACACTACTGTGTCAGATAATTTTATTAGTTTATGGTTTGAGGATTTATTATAGTTGAATTCTACTGTTTTATCAACCTACATATAAATATATTTTATAATATAATAAAAAATTCCTGCTAACACAAAGTTTTCACTTTGTATTTTTCATTGTTCCAGAAAATAAGCGAGAAAAAAATCTTAACTAGCTTAATTAGCTGTTCTTCAGTTAATCGGTTTGCACCTTTGTTTAAAGAATTATTTATGTTAGAAAGAAGCAAATATGCAACTTAGTAATTTACCTACATTTTTAATACAGGGGATTAGTGAAGTTTGTAGAATTTTCATAGTTTATATTATGAACGGATCTTAATTAGACCACCAATGAAAAGCTGAAGCACGAGCTGGCCATTTGGTTCTAGTAAAGGGACTCCTCATCAGTGCACATTCATAACCTCGTACTCGGGAATCGAATCCAGGAGCTTTTTTGACAATGATCGCAGACGATAACAATTCTCAGGTTTAAAAGTTACTTGAACAAATGACAAATTATTATTATTATTATCAAAATAAGTTTCTCAGTATATGTGTAATCATGTTCCTGTTGAATGTTTGGAAGCATACAACCTAATTTTAATCTGGTTACACTTTTTTAACATGATCTAATTGTAGAATTAAAGAAACTAATACTAGTGAGTGATTTCTAAGCGAAATCATGTTGAACTATCATCAGAAACGTCACAGGGCAAACATTTTTGGATACCTATTGCTTTCTGTTATGTGTATGATATCAATCAATCTTAAAGTCGCCAGGACAATGGTAATGATTACAAGCTTTGAGATTTATGCAAACGTTATTATATTATTGTCGATAACGATACTATTATCAACAATGATAGTAGTACGTACAGACTTTTTATGTTTAGAATGTCGAAATACAAAAATAGTCGAAATCTAAAACTAATGACGTTCAAATGAAGTACATTGCTCAGTATTTATTATTAATTGGGAGAAGAAAAAGTAGGTTTAACAATATCTACCTCATAAATCTAATCTTCATTCTATCACTGGTTCTACTGAATCTTGTTACTGTATTTAAAACTATCAAATTTCACAAGATCACAGGTTTGAGAGAACTTCAGTTGGTCGAAGTTCATTTATGTTCCTTTCACAGTGTTACCATTGTTTATAGCTGACTAGGCTAACTGCATGTCAATCTTTCAGTACAGTACCGAATTAGCTGTCTGTATTTTGCATTTACATTAGTATTTTATTCACTATATTGTTTAACAGCTTTTAGGAAGCTGAAAATTACCTTCAGTCTCTGACCTTTCCATTAAAGTTAAAGCTACGGTCCCGATTTGTCTTATTCTGATATCTTAACCGGTTTCCAGTGTTAAACTTATTGGAACAACTCACCGAAGATTGAATATATTAAAAGATTATCATGGCTTTTCGAAATATTTATTTGCGAAAACATATAAATAATAAATGATGCTACAAAAAGTAATTATTATTATTTGTTAAATTCACATTCAAGGTAACGAACACAACTCGTCTTACCACCAATTTGTACTTTTTACTTATTTTGTTTGGTTCACAGATACACCGCTGAGCTATTGGGAGCACGACAAACCTACCCCAAGAAACATCAACTACAGGTACGTCTTACTGATGAGTGTCAAATATAGTGAAACTTAGGTCTGAGGTTTACTGCTGACTACCTTTAACTATCACCTTACATCTCAACATAGTGAACGTGATGCTGAGTTACTTTAGTAGTAGTGGTAGTAGTAGTAGTAGTAGTATTGATAGTAATAATAATAATAATAACAATAGTAGTAGTAGTAGTTAGTTAAGGTGGCTACGTTGCAAGTTGATCGACAGAATTCAATCAGCACTGAGAAGAACTTGACATACATGAAATCGGTCACCACTTAGTGAACTGTTAATTGTAAATTTATTTGCATATATGTGTAATGTGCACAATTAATTCACTTACTAGTAATCTATTAGATCAGAGTGGATATTTGAAAAAAGAGATATTTTCATAAATATTCAACGATGAATTATCACATCTACTTTTATTGTATAATTATTGAGTAATTGGTCATCTCAATGTTGTTTGCTAAGTACCATTTTTACTCCTGAATTATGACTAAAGTTTGCAGACATTGTTAAATAGTATATCCAAACCCGATAACTCATATTGTGTTGAGTGGGTAAATGGAAACAAACTAAAACATTTATCCGAGGTTTCGTATCTGTCATTCTTCTTATCAAGCATATTCATGTATATTTATTTTATTTTAAGAGTCTCCAACTAATAATCTTCGACACTACAATTAAAGTTACCAGAACGTAAATGATGATCCTTCTTTCTTCAATTCTAATTCATATTGTTTTGACATACTAAAGCCTGTACTATTAAAATGCATATGTGTGTAAACAACCTTTCTCAAGATTTATTTGTATTAATCACTTTTTAAAAGGAGTAAAACGTGTGTTTTGTACAAAGGTGAGTTTAACTTTGCATTATTGATTTCCACGTGCTTTATGCCACATGTATGCATGTACATGATTACAAAAACTTAAATATACTGGATTACACTACATGTACATGAAATTTACAATATAAAACATAGTCATTAATACTAACATTTAAAAATTTAACCCGATTTTGAGCACACTGAGACATAGAATAGACATATGTGAACAGACATTAAATAACCGATATATATGGTCTGTTCTAGACTAGTTACTACTTACCAAGAAAATAATAGTGTTGACAATTGTGAATAACAAATAAACCAATCACAATAACATCTAACTATACGGAACTGATAGGTAAAATGCATGCGTAAAAAACGTTTTTGTATTTGATTAATTTTGCAAAGGCCTTGTTAGCTGTAAGTTATTTAACATAGCATTCCTTTTTTTGATATTTTTGTGAAATGATGACACAATGTGAGATCCTGAAACAGTTTATTCAAACTGACAGAAACTTTACACTGTTTTGTGCCAACATTTTTACTGAATAGATAACTTTTTGGTTTTTTAGACAACAAAATCTTGGACAAATTTTGTTATGATTCTGACATAGATCAGTTAACTAGAACACTCAAGCGACTGGATTATCAGACATTACTTGAACGACTGAAAGCTTATTGACACTAAGACTTGGCAGGGTGAAAAGTTTTACATAAAATAAAGCTACGTTATACACTATATATATATATATATATATATATATATATATATATATATATATATATATATATATATATATATATATATATATATATATATATTGGAATCACTTTGATATTCTGTTCAGAGTCACTAATGTTGAAGGCAGTTAACGAAATGAAATATCATACACCACCAGCCAATAACGACCATGTACGCGCAAGGAATTAGCTTACCTGGATGAGATTGCTGACGTACAAGTAAAGGGTTATGTCTGACGGATTTCAGTCATGTAGAGAAGAAGATAATTGATCACTCTCGATTCAAGCCATGTAGAATTATGATTCATTTTTCATGAGGAAATTTAATTAGCTATCCATCAATCTGAAATTAAGTCCCAACACACACTGACAATGAAGCTTAAGTTAACAAACCCAAGGTCAAATGAGAAGCTGGGATCTTTCAGGTGTTATACAACATCGTAATTTCATTGCAACATAATAATTTCATTAAGTGAACTGAATCATTGAATTGCTAGTCCTCATGCTATTTAGATTGGGAGTCTTAGCTATGTAACTCAAACACTTTTAGCCTTTACCATCTGAAGAATCTGGAGCTCGATATAGATTACCGAAAATAAATAGCTAATAATTTCCATAAGGTAAATTTGAACTAAGTAATCTAACATCTAAATTGTTCTTTCGATAATAATAAGATTATCAGAACTATATGATATATTAGCGCAATACATTTCGAACAATCTGATCAGATATTTATGTATATAGACTGGAAATGGGGTAGGAGGAGACAAGGATATTAATAAGAGTAATAATAATAATGATAATGTGAACATAATTTGAAACCTAATTACTCTGGCTAATATGCCAAATATTACCAGCGTAGGTTTAAGGTAAGAACAAACTGTTTTCGAATACACAAAGGGGGTTTGAATTTTTCCAGTCTAGTTGACCTTTTATTTTGTATAGAAATGTTCTTATTAAGTATATGTGTGATCGGATTGTTCGAAATGTATTGCGCTAATTTATCATCACATAGTTCTGATAATCTTCGTCTTCTTTATTACATTATCGAAATTTATCAAAGGGACTAATTGCTTTAAATTTCTTAAAAGAAGACTACCTGCAAGTAATTGTTCCATTTGAGTACTGGATTATTGATTCCATAATTTTAAAAAATTCACAAATCTCTAAAATAAATCTAATTCTATGATAAATATTTGTGTTAAAACAAAGTGAATGAGGGAGTGAGGGAAATTTAAAAGATAAGTTCAACTTCAATCTTTTGAAGTGAAACAAAGCAGTACTTTTTCTCTTTAATAAATTGAAAAAAAAGATAATCACTTCAAAATAGAGAAAACAAAGTAAACTCATTGTCATTTAAGTTGATCATTGTAATTTTGTACTTTTTCCCTCTAATTTAGTTACATTGTTCTTTTAATGAGCTAATTAATATAATTGTCCATGATCAATCGTTAACTTTAGCGAAAAACAAAACAAATGGATTGATATCTGATAAGTCTTGATAATTGAACGCTATATTCGGTTCCTAAGCTCTTCTAGTAACCTTCAAGCTAGAACTACACAGGGACTTGAACACGAGAGAAAAGGCGCAAAGTACGTAAGAAACACTATACTCCAAAGGTTCATATATGTACAGAAAATATAGGGTTTTTATAGTATTTTAGATGTCCTTGAGTTTTCCCGAAAATTCTAGAATGCAACTAAACATAGTAGCAGTGTAGTAATCATCCAATCAGAAATTCGAAATGTGACTTTCCAACTTCTAAATGTTTCTGGCAAAACTTCTAATGAACACTGATTGAATAAGATGCTTCTCAGTGTTTTCAGAGCATTTTTTGGCTTTTTTCGAGGAGTTTTCTGAATCTCCCCAACAATATTACCAAATTTTGCTTTAATTTTTCTATGATAAGAAAATGTTGTCATAACTTCATCCATCCTACACTTACTCAGTGATTGATTTAAAGGTAATCTTTAAACTAGTCAATTCTTGACTTAATTACATTCAAAATATTTAATATGTTTTCTTTATGCACAGCTAATTATTATGTTTTCAACCATTACATATACTCCGATAATTTTTTGTCTTATTTCTAACAACCTTTAAAATTTCCGTAATACAGATAATCATTAGAATGAGTCTCTTGACGTATTTATATACCGAGGTCTATAAGTTACTTTGTGACCTCCTTTACTCAATAATTTTATCCGATAACTGATACAATCGCACCATGACGATCAAAAAACTTTGTGTACAGATTCCAGTTTCAGTGGCCAAATACGTACTAATGTAGTTAGCCATTTGGAAAGTAATACAATCTTTTAAGATTTATTTGATTAATTAATTAGAGTTTGATTCCGTTGGGAAAATTATCAGTTTCAATATCTCAGTCATTTCAATATTTTTATCAAATATCATTTCATGCAATAATCTGAATGTCTCACATATTTTATTCTAACTGAGGATGACGAACTCAACATACAAGGAAAATGTTTAATTAAGGTAACTGGAACTAATGATAGTGATCGACTGATACTCATATGTTTTATTTCTAAACAAGCCACTCTATTCCAGATTTAAGATTGAATAATAAATACTGAATACAAATATACCGATTATTGATCATATTAGTCCATAATAACGAACCAAATCAGTGCCGTTAATAAATGTGAGTTATTTTAGTTTACGAGTCAGCCTTTTTTAGCCTTTCAAATAGCATGTGAACTAATAGAGAAATTTTATTTTACGTTTATTCTTCGTATAAATTCGTTGATCCACTTACTCATTTTAACTGACATCACCTGACCTTCAGTATTAGATCATTTTCAACTTAAACAAATTACAAGCAGAGATGAAATATACCTTGTAGGAAATAAGGTTTTGTATATGTGGAAATCGGTGGTCTAGTTGAATTACCAAAAGCAAATATGATCATGAATCGACTGATGTTAGACCAACATTAAAAACCTGAAAGCACTGTACGGCTGTTTCGTCCAGGTATGGGACTTGTCAGCAGCACGCATACGCAGTCCCCCTCACGGGGTTCGAACCCAGGACCTTCGGTCTTGCGCGCGAACGCTTAACATCTAGACCCCTGATATATATATATATATATATATATATATATATATATATATATATATATATATATATTTAGACATTGAACAAACTTAACTTATTCATTCAACAATCATTCTACTTCAAATGTAATAGCTGATGAATTCACCTTTTTTAGAAATACGGATTATAACCGGACATGACTTATCAAACTACACAATACAATAAACCACTTGTTAGCCTACGTTACAGAACCTATTCCAACAGCCTATGTGAACATGACAAAAGTAAGTAAAATAAAATATGTTTGAAAATTGAATCACAAATTGTATACTAAGTTTAATAAATTCATTATTAATTTATATTTTAGGTTTTTATTTATTTTAAAGAGGTTTTGCATCATAATATGATGTTATGTAGAGAAACTTTAAAACCGGAAATCACTAGATAGCTGCTTCGTTTTAGTTTGAGAACTAGTATCACTATTTTTTAATGATTCCAGACAAGATCTAGGTTAAATTCTTCATTTGATGCAATGAAATTATAATTCTATACTAATGAATGAACAAAATAATTGTTCAATGCATTCTAATCATCACTGGTCGTTTTCACTAAAGTCAGTCAATTCATAAGGGAAACTACAAATTGAACTATCTCCACAAACCTCATATATTTAATTCACTTGATGTTGTTTACCTGAATCTTCCCATTGTTATTTAAGACTGCAGTTGATCGGTCTCATATTGGCATATGTGTATACTGTACAGATTGCCTCGATATTACCTTAAGTCACAAGCTTTTTATGCAAAGATGGATAGTGGCTTCCAGTGGAATCCAGTTTGACACGGGTTTCGTTCTATTTGGGACTCGTCAGCTAGATGTACCTGTATCTCATAGTTAATGTTCACTCTGAGACTCGAAACCAGCACCGTCCGCTTCAAACGCCATCGTGTTATCCACTTAGCTATAGAGTCCTGATAACCACCTGCTTGTCCAATAGGGTGAAGTTCTAAATTCACATGATATTGTTTACTTGTATCTTCCCATTGTTATTTAGGACTCCAATTGATTGAGTCCCAAATAAGACGAAATGCGCGTCCTGGATTCCACTGCTAGCCACTATCCATCTTTGCTCATATATTAGTTTAGAAATGTTTGTAAATTATTTAAAACTAGTTTGATTTTTAGACAAACCAGGTAAACTGAAACTAGAATAAAATTTCATAGAAAGTCTTTCATCGGTTACTATTTGACCAAACATACAAGAACAGTTCAAAGATAGAAAAACATCCAACAATCAAATTAAGCGCAACCTTTCTGTTTGATTTCAGAATAATCTAAATGGATGGAAACAATCAATGAATTGAAAAATAAACACCTAGGTTTTTTACTTGTAAATAATGATCAACAAAGATGACTCGCTATTTTATTTAAAATCTCTAGACTTTATAAAGGTAGTCTTACTTAATGATGAAATCACAGATACCAAAGTATTGACATTGAATTGCTTAGTATCAAAATAGACAGTTTTTGATTTTGAAGTTCATAATGTTTTGACAATAGACATACAGAATTACTTTTCATAAAATTAAGATCATTAATTCAAATTGTTTATTTCTGTAAATAATCATTTTAGACAATGTACTCTTAGAAAAAGTCAATATACCAAAACTTGATGAAGAATGTGAGGTTAGTAAGTTGATTGATTTTTGTCATTATGGGGTTGTATGGATTGTTGGATTTCATTGAGATCAAGAAACGATCTCAAGTATATAAAAAACCATTGAAAACCTGAAAATACTAAAAGCCGATTCTCTCGTAGAATGGGACTCTTCCTCAGTACACATCCAAGATCGTACAGCCAGGAATCGAATTCAGGACATTTGGTTTCTCTTTCGATCACTGAGCCGGAATCCAATGGTGTACACGTCTAATTCCAATCAATCCGCGTTTTTAATTTTTGTTCGCTTTATATGTTTATGAAATTGTTTAAAAAATTATTGATTACACAATTGAAAAGATAAACACAAAAAGACATGTGTATTAGTTTACAAGCTGATAGTGTTTGTTTTTACTGGAATATCGTGAGTTTATTAATTTTATGATTAAAAAGGCATACAATATTAAATAATCATACCATAAACCACTTGACAAACCAAAATTATAAATTCGGTTGAGTAAACATCTATCTGATATATCTTGATAAATTCAGTAAATTACCCTGTGAACAAAAAGAGTACATAATTTCATACATTTTTCAGGTAATCGAAATATCGAAACACTGACAGATTTATTGATCAAAAGAAAGAACATTAGGTTAAGCTAATAGCTATCTTACATAAATATATCAACAGTACTATTGAGTGTAGGTCAGTCAGTTATAATCAACGTAAAATTTGCCACAAGTATATGTTAGCACAAGTTGCTAAAACACATCAGTACAATGATATTGTATTACAAAATGTAGTATTTAAAAAGAGTTACAAGTAGATCTAGAAAAAATTGTCTTCGACTAAGTGAAATATGAAAGATTGTTGCAGTGAGAAAATTTAATAAGGAGAAGATAAATTCAAAACTGTAGTCAATAAATGAGGAAATATTAAATAATATAAATAGGTTTTCCGGAGTCTAAACCCCTCTCAACAGGGCCTCATTGGATAAGTGATATATGCAAATGATGTAATTTATTTTTAAAGGGATTTACTTAAAATCAATGTCAATTACTATTGTATCAAGTTAAATAATCAATCACGTTTCGTACCAAAATAAAGAAACATATTAAAACTAAATGGCATGTCACAGAATAAAAGTTTTAGTTTACACAGATAAGTGTAAGTTACATTAACATAGAGTACGTGATTCGTACACAATTTCTGAAATAGTTTTATGTTTAAACCTCTTGAAATGTTTAGCTGAATATTGTTAATGAAATCCAAGGCTCCTTTGGAGCCAGGTACATAGGCCGTTCATTAAGGTATCTTCTTCGTAGTAAATAATGTGATAACATCTAACATGATTTATCAAAGTACAATGAAGATCAATTATGTAAATTCTTTTTTTTTAATAAGTTGAGGATTTCGGACATTCATGCTTAAAGTTTTTATTTGAAATCATCAACCCTCCATTTATATTTGTTAATAATCACATACTCTTAATCTTCATCACTATGTAGAATACTGACCTTAGAACAAGTCATTAGAACTCAACAAGTAGTAGTTTATATAACACGTTTTCTGAACTGAATGATTTAATTATTAAACGTTTACTAGATTTCTAGATAATTTTATTAATGTATACTTAGAAAAGGGATCACTGATTATTAGGATTACTCTATAAATTCAGTTTTGAGTTGGTTTTTTGAATCATCCGATTGATGTTTAGGACTGCAATTGATCAGTCTCTTATTGGTATATATGCATCCTATGAGGATTGCCTCAATATTGTAATACCCTATAAATATTTAACAGTTTCTGATAACATGAAATTTGATTAGTTAATTAACTACAGCTCTAAAATAAAGTTTAAGTCTTCTACACAAATGAAACTTTCTAATGATAACTAACATTTATGTCATATTGTAATGTGTGCTATTTGTACGGACAGATATAAGTAGTATGTATCAGAAATTAAAAGTAGTATTGTTAAGGACAGAATAAAAGACAAAGGAAAACAAAAAGCAATAAAAATAACGACAGGAATGAGAGAATATTAGCGTTTATAAGGGATAACTCAAAAAGAGATGAACAAATAGTATAGTTAACATGTTGTTTTCCTATTTCATGAATTCAGTGTGTGATTTTGTGTAACACAACAAATTGGTTGACCCTTCCCAAGTTTCCATTCATTACAATTTATAGAAAATTAACGTTAATATAATAAATTTGAGAAAAGTTCGACATGAAATGTGTTTAATCTACCAACAATTTGCCCAGTGTACATTATATGAAAATGATGAAGAAAAATTAAATCACGCAATTAATCAACTGAAAAGTGATTTAGGTAAGTTAATATTAAGAATTAAATTAAATTTTCATTAGTAATTATATCATAAATATTTGTATGGGTTTGTATTTTACCATTGTATAGGTCAACGACCATAACTGGTCGGTTTCTGTTGACATATATACATCTAGAAAGGATTACCTTGATAGTCACCTTAAGCCACATGATTTTTTATTTAGTGTTAAATAATGCCCAAAAGTAGATTCTACTGGTATGCAAGCTTATTTAACTGAAGAATTTTAGAAAGGATGAAAATCACGTCCTTAATCTCACTGCTAATCACTATTCAACTTTAATAAATATCAATGACAATTTTCGATATGTAAATGAGTTTTTTTTACTATCGATTTGAATGATCCTTTACTTTGCTTTGAGGGTTTACTAACCTAACTGCAATCAATCGACTAATGTAGTATGAAATACCAGAATCAATCACTTCATATAACGAATCATTGTGCTTGCATAGATTGATTACTTGGTTATTCACTAATGTCATGTTTATCTAGTCAATATAACACTGGTTGAATTTCATCGATCAATTTGCAATATGACCACTAATCTAAATGACTATCTATTCATCATAAATAGTGAACCAAGAAATATTTCCTATAGTGTTCAGTGGTATTTGAACAAACAACTATAGTTATGAGGTCAAAATCAAGCCTCCTTTGTTAAACAAATCCAGAAACTTATTTAAAAGAATAATTTGGCCATTTGGAGTAAATTTTTTAAGGGATGTAACACTCTTAGTGACATGTTCTAAATGTTGAAAAAGAACAGTTCAATTTACCAGTGATGAAACATGACTTCAATTATCAATAGATTTCAGCCTAAAAACATATTTTCGTATTTATAATCATACTACTTGTACCTGTTACGTAACTTTATTCTCAATGTTCCAATTCTCTGTAAACACTCATAATTACAGTAATGCTACCAAAAATGAGCTGTTAAGAAAAATGCGAATGAATGTTATTTAGATTTATTTTATATCATATCCTTTTGACAATATTTACTTAGAAAACTTCAACTGGAAATTAGAAAGATCCTATCGTTATAAAATGAAAATTAATTTATTGCCGAATTTCACAGAAAATCTTACACATTGTAATGTGGACTTATTCAACCGAATTAATGAATTATGTAGTGTTTTAATCAAAACGTCGGATAATCTGCAGGTATGTTTAATTCAAGAAAAATTGTTTCAACCATTAATATATGACAGCCTCGTAGATAATATGAAAGTAAATTTGTATACTGGGAAAAAAATTCAGTCTTCGTGATTACTCAATATGGAATCCGATATGGCAAAATAATGGTATGGATTGAGTGTTCGTGGTGAAAACTTTATTTGTTGTTGGCTTTTGAAATCGGCTGCTGTCTCTTCTGTGTTGTATCGACTTAGCTGGAAGGAAAAGAGGGAATATATCCCACCCAAAATCATTTCTCAATAACCTATATATCATAATCAAATCACCTCCTAATGTATGTTCTAAATTATTAAGCAGCAATGTGCGTGATAAGATACCCAACTCAGAAACTGATCTGGTAGATGTTTTCTGTACTTTTTTCATGAGTCACTTTCCAATTTGGAACTCCCTAGGGCTATGTAGATTGTGTTGATTATACATTTATCTAGCACGGTCAAAGTAAATCTTAATCATAAACGGCTCCAAACCCCTTTGTTCCAGCCAAAAGATAGTGATCTGTGGTCTTAAGGCCACGACTAACTAATATTTGTAAATCATAGTAAGTTAGAACTAAATGCACTGACGTTTTCCCAATATTATTGTTATTACCATCTGCGTGACTAATGTGTATATACATACACTCAGACACATCAGCAAACACAAACCATAACTCATATAGGCTTACCGGGACATCGAGGTCGGCCTGGAGTCTCATTATATCAGTATCTTCTGATAGTACCTGCCATATTTTGATGTTATCAACGTAAAATTGGGACTTGATAATACTTAAGAGTTTGGAACTTGATAGCTATACAAGTTTAAGGTACTGTGTACTTTAGTAGAATGCATTCAAAATCTTGAACGATAGAGTAATATTCAAGTGGGCATACCAAAAAATGAATGACAGACAGAGTAAGACTGATTTCCACCTTTTGCTGACCCCACCAAATTAATTCATTTACCTTCAAGAATTGCGTCAGATAATTCGACGCTCATTGATAAGTCTTTCGATGTAGATATACGTTCAGTATGACAGATAATATAATCAAAGTCTACCTTTTTTCCGAACGACTATATAACATGGAGGTCCGTGGTTAAACCCCTAGCGAGGTAATATGTGTGTAGCCATTTATGTGTCAAGCTAATCCAAAATAAAACGACATATGTTCAGCGCTCTTGAGTTTTAAGCGTTTCTTCAAAATGATACAAGTTCATGACGGGAACTTACTTCAATTGTTAACAAGAGCTGTATTACCGATGAGTGAACCTGTACACTAAAATGTTTATTAACCAAAATTAAATACGGTCAAATAAGTATGGGAAACGATACAACAATAAGACTAGATTGAAAGAAAGAAATATATTCAATTAAAATGTTAATTTATATGTACTGAACAAATGTGGTATGTTTTAAACTGTTCAAATAATATAATACTTTTTCCTCAGGTTAATATACATTACGAAAAGTTTTTTATAAGTTCTACCTTTTTTTTATAGAATCATATCCTGTCCTATACAAAAAATCTTTTGGAATACAAGTCAGATTTTTTAAGCGCAGCTCAATTTAGATTTATACAACCGATAGACTTACAAATAGATGATTCTCTAAAAGATGACTCAATAATCAATGATCAAATTGATAAAATACGAACATATCAAACCAATGTAAATAATTCACGAATATTATTGCATGAAGTAGATAGAATGAATCAAAGAATAAAATATATATTTAGAAATTTGTTAAAATCTACAGCAGACTATTTGATATCGCCTAACTCTTGATTTTGGTTTTTGTAAACTATGTATAAATTGTATAGTTTATTAAGAAGAGAATAAGAAGATAGTAATATTTTCTTTAAAATAAATCGTTTCTAAAGATTTGTGGGATTTTATTATTTTAATTACTGCAAGAAATTTGGCATATCCGAATTTTGATGGGAGAACTCAGATTGATGGGGTAAACACCTTATTGTAGTAGTAAACATTATAATAAGCGAAGTACTATAACAAGGTATTCAAAAAACATTGCTGACTGTCAATAAGTAAATAACTAAGAAATCACTGTTCGATAGATTTTACTTCTTTTATGCAAACAGAAAAATATGTCCAACTAGTAAGTAGACAAGTTTTGTTCACTGTAGAATACATATTTGGCTAATACAGAGGTGAATTGTGTCCACTATTACCTATATTTTCATCTAAATAATGTGTTCCTTGCTCTTCCTCTTTTCCTTTGGCCTTGAGGATTCTGTATGAGGGCTTGACTTGTGACGCAGTCGGGTGCTTTCCTCAGTGTGCGTCCTATCCACTTCCAGCGCTTCTTCCTGATTTCTTTCTCCTCTGGGATCTCATTTGTCCTCTCCCACAATAAGTTGTTGCTGATAGTGTCCGGCCAACGGATTCGAAGTATTTTGCGTAAACACCTGTTAATAAACAATTGTGCTTTCGTAGTTCTCCCAGTTTCTGCCCCTTACAGTAGAATTATCATGACATTTGTATTGAAAATTCTATCCTTGGTGCTTGTTTACAGTTGTTTTGAGTTCCAGATGTTCTTCAGTAGTAAATATGCTTCTTTTGCTCTGCCGATTCATGCCTTCACATCTGCATCAGATCCACCGTGTTCATCAATGCTGCTGACCAGGTATGGAAAGGTTTTTGCATCTTCCAAATCTTCTCCGTCAAGTGTGATTGGATTGTTGCATGCTGTGTATTATCGGAGAATCTTGCTTCCCCCTTCGTGTATGTTGAGACGTAGTGCTGTTGAGGCTGCTGCTACACTGGTCATTTTCTCCTCCATTTGCTCTTGAGCCAGATCATCCGCGAAGTCTAGATCGTCCATCTGTTTAAGTTTTCGTGATCTAGTCGATCACCAGGAGAACGAGAGAGCGTGACAGTAGGCAACCTTGCTTGACACCGGAATTTACCTCGAAAGCGTCTCTGAATTGTTCTCTATGCGCGGTTTTGCAGTTTAATCCATCATAGGGATTCCGTATGATATTGACTATCTTCTCAAGCACACCGTAGTATCGAAGAAGCCTCCAAAGTGTTGTCCTGTCCACGTTGTTAAATGCTTTCTCGTAGTCAATGAACTTGATGTAGAGTGATGAATTCCACTCAATTCATTGTTCCACAATAATCCGTATTGTTGCACGATCGATCCTTGCGGAATCCTGCTCATTGGTTTCGAAGTTTGGCGTCCTTCGTTCTGTTTAAGAACACCCTGTGGAAGACTTCCTGGTATTGAGAAAAGAGTGATGCCCCTGCAGTTATCACAGTTTCTGAGATCGCCTTTCTTCGGTATTTTGACCAGAAGTCCTTCTTTCCAGTCTTTTGGTACCTGTTCCTCATTCCAAATCTTTCTGAAGAGAATGTGGAGTATCCTTGCAGTTACCGTCACGCCTGCTTTCAGTGCCTCTGCTGGAATGATGTCCGGTCCTGCTGCTTTGCCACTCTTGATTTGTCTGATGGCCATGTTGATCTATTCGATTGTTGGTGGGCCAACATCGATTGGGAGGTCCGTGAGTGCTGCTTCGATGTTGGGTGGGTTTAGTGGGGCTGGTCGATTCGAGAGTTCTTTGAAGTGTTCTACCCACCTGTTCCGTTGTTCTTCAATATTGGTGATGACTTCGCCTTCCCTTCTTTTCACTGGTTGTTCTGGTTTACGGTAATTTTCAGCGAGTTTCTCTGTTGCGCTACACAATTGTCTCGTGTTTCCTTCTCTTGCAGCATTTTCTGGCGTCATTGCTAAACCCTCCACATATTTATGTTTGTCGGTTCTAATGATCCTCTTCACCTGCTTGTTTACTTCTGTTTGTTCAGCTTGTGCCTTGACTTTCTCAGCTCTTGTTCGGCTGGTATTGAATTGGGTCTGACTAGGAGTTCGATTACGCACAAAGACAAATTCAATTTCAGTGATTCATTTGGTAGTTTCATTTGTCTACATAAACGTTGTAATATTGTCCCCTGCCTGGACTTGACAGTTATACTTTACATGTCAGCTTCCAGTGTACTATGAAGTATTTAGAACCAATGAAAGTTGTCTACTCTTAACTGAAAGGAAGGATCTATTGTGGCAGTCATTGCTATTATTTATGTGAACCTTTGAATGATACATTCATGCTAATGGGAGAATAATATATTTATTGTAATGAGGGGGGATTTACAGTGGCCATGTTGTGTAGTGACCTACTTTTGTTAACAGAACGCGATTGGTTCAATGAAAACAATTATTATTATAACCAATTGTACCAGTGACTGTTTTACTGTGCTCGTTTGTTTAACTGTGCTAATGACAGCCACTATACTTACTCTCCCGTTGACTTTGAACTTGTACGAATCCGGTTACGCTCAGTAACCACGCTTGTACTCCTTTGGCACGATCTCGGTATTCTTTCGATACCACGAGATCGCCAACAAATACATCTCGACTACAGCCATCATCTGTCTTCTGATTTTTGGCCTACCGGAATCTTATTGGTCTATTGGCACGTAGTCTGGTAGCGGTGTTCATAGTCAAGCTCAACTCGACACCACGCTACAATTGGTGAGCCAAATATTGGAACACGCTTCAACCTCGGTCAAATCTTCCAAAGAAGGCAATTCGGTGAGTCTATTGTTTTATCTATCCACGTCTGTCATATATTTTCATATTAATTTTTAATATATATATTTGACATGATGGATAACGATAAGAATAGTATTAATATAATAGACTCCGATGTACGCGTACCGAATCCTCCGCACTTTTTATTCGCGTGACGATAAATTCCACGCCTTACTCGAGAAATTCCCCAGATTAACTAAACCACTCGAGGAGATTTCATCGGTGACCAATGATATGGTACACCACATAGTCACCCGCGGACCACCAGTCACGGCAAGACCACGCCGACTGGCACCGGACAAATTAGCCTTCGCTAAACGTGAGTTTGACAATTTACTATCTGCTGGTATTATTCGTCCTTCTCACAGTCCTTGGGCCTCTCCTCTACACATGGTGTGCAAAAAGGATGGGGTTAGTTGGAGATCATGCGGCGACTACCGAGCATTAAACGTAGTTACGCGTTTTGATATCTACCCCATCCCCCACATACACGACATCACGGCATCGCTCAAGGGCACGACTATATTTTCTAAAATCGATCTGGTCCGAGCATATCACCAGATCCCAGTCGCTCTTGAAGACATCGAGAAAACTGCTATCACGACTCCTTTAGGTCTGTTTGAGTTCCTACGAATGCCATTTGGATTACAGAATACTGCTCAAACTTTCCAAAGGTTTATCGATAGCATAGTACGAGACTTGGATTTTGTTCACGTCTATATTGATGACCTGCTGATCGCATCATCAAACGTAGATGAACATTATCAACACCTTACGCTATTATTCCAACGTCTTTCGGATAATGGAATAGTAGTCAACCCAGAGAAATGTGAATTGGGTAAATCAGAAATAATATTTCTGGGTCACATCATCAGACAAGAGGGTATTCTGCCTTGCGAGGACAAAGTTCGAGCAATCAAGGAGTACAACGTGCCGTCCTCAATCAAGGAACTGAAGGCTTTCCTCGGTTTGGTTAACTTCTACCGACGTTTCATCCCTCACGCGGCAGAACGGTTACGACCATTAACCGATTTACTACGCGGTAATCCACGCAAATTAGAATTGAACGATACCGCACGTACTGCATTCTCAGAGATCAAAACGGCTCTCGCTGAAGTTACACTTCTTGCTCATCCTGACCCATCAGCCACGCTTAGTATAGCGGTTGATGCATCAGATTTCGCTATAGGAGCCGTCATGCAACAGAATATCTCCAGTAGTTGGCAACCCCTTGAATTTTTCTCACGACGCCTTACCCACACAGAGACGAGATATAACGCTTTTGGTCGCGAGCTGCTTGCAGCCTACTGTGCCATCAAACATTTCCGGCACGCATTAGAAGGACGCCAATTCATTTTATTCACCGACCATAAGCCCTTAACGTATGCCCTGCATACCAAGTCTGACCGCTACTCACCATGAGAGTGCAGACATTTGGACTATATCTCCCAGTTCACGGCAGACCTTCGTCACATTAAAGGCGAGTCGAACTATGTTGCCGATGCTCTATCACGTATCCGGACGAATGCAGTTACTTCACCGGTGCTCGATCTTCCTGCTATGGTGGCCGCGCAAGCAAACGATCCTGTCTGTACAGAAGCACCACAATCTTCGTCCCTTCAGTGTCAGGAAGTACCCCTAGCTACTAGCTCAGGTACTATCCTATGTGATACTTCTACCGGTCTTCCTCGACCCATCGTACCCTCTACCTATCGCCGTCTCGTCTTTGATGCCCTTCATGGATTGTCTCATTCAGGTATCGCAGCGACATTACGTCTCATCGCTGCACGATACGTCTGGCCGTCCATGAATAAAGATGTTCGTATGTGGGTAAAGCAATGCTTACAGTGTCAACGATCAAAAGTGCACAGGCACGTAGCTGCCCCCATTGGCACGTTCGCTACGCCTGATGCTCGCTTTGATCACGTTCATATAGACATTGTAGGACCATTGCCACCATCGAATGGGTATGATCACATACTCACGTGCATTGATCGTTTTACAAGATGGCCCAAAGCTATTCCCATCACGTCTATCACGGCGGAGACAGTTGCTCACCGCTTCGTAGAACGATGGATAGCATTGTACGGTTGTCCCTCGACTGTCACGACTGACTGAGGACAACAATTTGAGTCCGCATTATTCTCCTCACTGACCCAGCTGCTTGTTATGGAACGCATACGCACTACCGCCTACCATCCAGTATCGAATGGTTT